ACTCTTTCATGCATCATTAACTCTAAACTTACAACTTTTTTCTATAAGTGTAAAAGACAACCCTCAAAAAGCGTTCCTGTTTCATGGCATAGTTTAAAATGAAGACTCTAAGGTCAGATTCCCTTTACTCAAATCTTAAAGTCACCATTTTAGTCAAGTAAATAAAGTAACTTCTCTGTGCCTTAGTTTCCTCATATCTAAAATGAGGATGCATTAAAAGCAGTAAATGTACATAGTAATGGCTAACATTTATTTTAACGTTATTTACTAACCAGTTAAAATATGTTAGCAAAATAGAAGAGTAAAACACGAAATTCAAATGTAATACAATAGAAAGGCATAATTGGAAACTTCTTGTTTCCAATTGGAAACTTTTTGTGCCACGAAAAGTAGTTGCTCTCATGAAAGAGTGACACCCAGGGGATAACAAAAATCTATCCATCCTGGATATCATTACATTAAAAAAGTAAAAGGTGCCTACTGAAGAACTGTTATATTCGGTGTGCCTGGTGCCCTGAATACATTACTATTTGATCAAAAGATAAAAACCTCTTGATAAACTATTTTAAGTATTCAACAGTGTGTTCCATTCTCCTTACAACTTGGGAAGGAGAAAGTCAATACCAAAACAGAGTAGCCAAGGAATTATAATAGTCAAAGTTGTTAACACTTATATCTGATAATATATATTGTCCTAAGATTTAAACTGCACCAAAGTAAATGTTTAATATCAGGTTTTTCAGTGATAAGTGATGCTCTTAGATTATATTAAGCTGTAAATTCAAAGGCTGACCAGTTATTAATGAAGTAGGAGAACATAATAAAATCATTATGGCTAATGTTTTAGAAAAAAATTTTATAAATATACCAAACTAATACTGAAAAATCTAGACTTAACCTGGAATATAATTTGGGAAGAATAAGAGGAATACTCTTAAGACTAGGCATACTCACACTATGCCTAAATTGGTTTGGGGGGAATTAATGAGATGATTATAGTAGTATATTTAGAACTGTTTAGTTAATTCCTAACTGCTGGCTTGCATATGTAATACCATTTGCTGCCTTGATCAAGATCAGAAAATGAGAGTAGATGAAACAGTGATTTGCCTACTGTGATCTATTCTCTTTCACTACCTAAACCAAAGCTGCCAAAAATGAAATTTTAACAGTATTTTTTATTTTTCACTCTACTAAATTTCAATCAAGAGATACAAAAAGCCAGAGTACCTCAAATAATAACACACTAAAACTAGAATTTGCACAACTTTAGTAGCCAATTGCCTACTTTTTTATATCTTAAAGAAAAAAAAAAAGGGTTTTCTCAAGTAGCAATTAACTTAGTAAATATAAATGCCACTCCATCCCAATTCACTTTAATTTCCCATTATATAAACAGCAAAACATCAACTGTATGATCTCAAGTGAAAAAAAACAAAGTAGCTAACAGACAAACAAACAAAAAACACCCTCCAAAGTACCTCAAACTTGTGTGATGCACTCTCTGGTAAAGATTCAAAAATTAAATCTTCAAGTGACTTGGGCTGGTTGGATTTAGCCTTTGGTGGGAACAAAGATGGTGGCTGACACTGAACCTGGAAACCCTCCAGTTCTCCACCTGGGTTCTGCTGCATGAGTTTTAACCTTTTCCTTTCTTTCCGGATTTCCTTTGCTTTTCGACATGGAGGCTTACTCAAATCTGCCCCTTTGCCTAAAAAAGAATTTCAAAATATTAGACCAATCACTTTTGGCTCTAGAAATATTTTTTAAAGGTCTCAAAGGTTCCACAAAATCAGTACAAAGAGTTCCAACTGTTAGGTTAGCTTCGGGTAGATGTTTCAGAGGCTCAGGGTGTAGACCCCTAAGTTGATCTTTAAGTTCTACCTTTGAAGAAGAACTGCCAGAGAAAGTAAATAGTAACAGAAACTTTTCAGGCAGTTCTTATTGTTGAAACATTTTCTTTTACATATTCATCCACTGCTCTGCCTTGTAAAAAGAACATAATCAAATACCTTCTGCTTCACGACACTGCTGTCTGCAGCCCATTTCTGAGGGACATTTCTCTGAAACCTAAGCATTTATCACTGGTAACAGAGATAAATGCTTAGGAACCAGGTGTAAATGAGGACTGATCCCAGAACATACTCCGGCGGGTTTTTTTAAATGGAAAAATATCCTCTCTTAGTTCAAGATATTTGCATCCTTCTCTATCTAACTGAGGGTGGGGGGGGGGGTCTCATTAGTTTGGCTCCAATTAGAGTTTTGTTTTAATTAAAAGAGCAAATAGCAAACTGATAATCCTTTAAAATGTAACAATTTTTACTATTATAAACCACAAATTTTAGTGAGTACCCTTTAATCTAGGAAGTTGTTTTCAAGGAATCTATCCCAAGAAAATCATAAGAGATAGAGGCAAATAATGAACACAAATGAAAACCTCAAAGTAATCTAAATGCTCAATTATAGAATTACACAATTTTTAAAATAAGCAACAGAATATCCAACAGCCATTTTAAATGCTGTAGAAATTTTAGGGGATTTGTCATTATTCAATGTTAAAACACGGGCTTCCCTGGTGGCACAGTGGTTAAGAATCCACCTGCCAATGCAGGGGACACGGGTTGCAGCCCTGGCCTGGGAAGGTCCCACATGCCGTGGAGCAACTAAGCTCGTGTGCCACAACTACTGAGCCTGCGCTCTAGAGCCCACAAGCCACAACTACTGAAGCCCACGTGCCTAGAGCCCATGCTCCACAACAAGAGAAGCCACTGCAATGAGAAGCCCGCACACCGCAACGAAGAGTAGCCCCCACTCACCGCAACTAGAGAAAGCCACGCACAGCACGAGAGAACCAAAGCAGCCAAAAGTAAATAGATAAAATAAATTTATAAAAAACAATTGTGTATAAATATATATGTTTAAAATATTTAGGAAAAAACCTGGAAAGAAATATATCACCATGTTAACAGTCATTTTACTTGGGTTTAGAAATTTAAAAAAAGGACTTTCATCCTCCTTTTTTTTTTGTAGTGTTCTCTTTTCTCCAATTTTTCTAACACTAAACATAACTTTGTAATTTTTTTAAAAGCCACTAATTAAATAAAGAAAAACGTTTTTTTAAAAATTTAGGATCCTGAAACAGTATTCACAAATCATATAAAAGTCAATTTTACAGAGAAGAAAATTAAGACGTAGAGTGTTAAGGGACTTGTCAGAGACCAAGACCTGGTCAAAAGAAACTAATTTGATGAGAAAACAGTGACCGTGAGACCATATTATACAACTTCACTACATGTTTTCCAACTAAAAACAAAATTTACCTATTAAAAAAAAGCTTTGGGGCTTCCCTGGTGGCGCAGTGGTTGAGAGTCCACCTGCCGATGCAGGGGACGCGGATTCGTGCCCCGGTCTGGGAGGATCCCACATGCCCCGTGAGCCATGGCCGCTGAGCCTGCGCGTCCGGAGCCTGCCCTCCGCAAATGGGAGAGGCCACAACAGTGAGAGGCCCACATAACGCAAGGAAAAAAAAAAAAAAAAAAAAAAAAAAAACAACTTTGAATGAGTCTAATAAACCAATAACAAAAAACTAATTCCATAATTAGCCATCACTCTGTTGCCTCAGAGAATTGATTTTCTGTGGCCAGGGAATGCGTCTTTTCTCACATGTGTCCTGAGAGGCACAAGAGCCTGTGGTCAAGAGCACATGTGCTGACACGGGCTGCCTGAGGTGAGCTCCGGCACACCTGGCCAGGTGACCTTGGGCAAGTTTCTTCGTCTGTACAAGAAAGAGAATAACCAGTCCTAACAGTGGAGTTCCTAAGGATTACATGTGTTAATGCATGTGCAGCTCATAAAACTGTATCCACTGTTCAATTAAGGGTCATCTATTGTTTGGCACAGATGAACCTATTTGCAGGGCAGGAATAGAGACACAGACGTAGAGAACAGACATGTGGACACAGCGGGCAGAAGGGGAGGGTGGGACAAATTGGGAGATTAGGATTGACATATATACACTACCATGCGTAAAATAGATAGTGGGAACATGCTATAAAGCACAGGAAGCTGAGCTCAGTGCTCTGTGACGACCTAGATGGGTGGAATGGGGGGTGGAGTGGGAGGGAGGTCCAAGAGGGAAGGGGGTGTAGGTATACATATAGCTGATTCACTGCACAGCAAAAACTAACACAACATTGTAAAGCAATTAGACTCCAATTTAAAAAAAGGGTCACCTATTTTTATTAGCTATTATATATATCACCAATACCTAAAACAATGTTTCATTTCACCTATCAACATCCCATAAATAGTAATAAGGAAAAATACCTGCATTTCCTAACAGTTACTCAAAATTACATTCCTACCAAAGTTTTAAAATTATGAACAAATTATAAAACTATCTAGAGTGAACTGAGAAACAACTTTTCAGTACTTTAATGAAAGGCCACCTATGTCATCTTTACACTAATTAATTCATTGGACTACGCAATCCTTACCATGATTGTTTCACACTATATTTATGTACTGTCACACTGCAAACTACAATGGGCAGCAAATTAGGATTTCAGTTTATTTAGGGGATACAGATTTCCCCAAATCAATAAATTCCTTCAGCAGAATGAAAACAGATCATCAGTATAAAATCAGTATACCTGGGACTTCCCTGGTGGCGCAGTGGTTAAGAATCCGCCTGCCAATGCAGGGGACACGGGTTCGATCCCTGGTCTGGGAAGATCCCACATGCCGCGGAGCAACTAAGCCCATGCGCCACAACTACTAAGCCTGCGCTCTAGAGCCTGCAAGCCACAACTACTGAAGCCCGCGTGCCTAGAGCCCATGCTCCGCAACAAGAGAAACCACCACAAAGAGATGCCCGCACACCGCAACGAAGAGTAGCCCCCGCTCTCCGCAACTAGAGAAAGCCCACACGGCAACAAAGACCCAATGCAGCCAAAAATAAATAAATAAAATAAAAGTAAAAAAAAAGAAAGACTGAAGAAAAATTTAGAAATTTAAATAATGGATATTCAGCAACATTAAGGAATTTTACTTAGGTGCAATAACAGTATTGTGAATGTTTTTTAAAGTACTTAGTTTTTAGAGATGCCTTCTGAAATACAGCATGATATAATGTCTGGAATTTGCTTCAATACAATACTGGAAGAGTAAGAATGGCCATCATTTCAAAAACAAACAAACAAACAAGCTCACAGAAAAAGAGATCACATTTGTGGTCAAGGGGGAGACTGGATGAAGGCAAGTCAACAGGTATAAATTTCCAGCTGTGAGATAAATATCACTACTTGAGATGTAATGTACAACATGATAAATATAATGAACACGGCCGTATGTTATAGATGAAAGCTGTTCAGAGAGTAAATCCTGAGTTCTCTTCACAAGAAAAAAAAATTTTTCTATTTCTTTAATTTTGTACCCATCTGAGATGATGGATATTCACTAAACTTATTGTGAGAATCACTTCACGATGTAAGTCAGATCATTATGCCGTACACTGCCATACGTCAATTATAACTCAATAAAACTAGAAGAAAAAAAAAGAGTGGACATCATGAGTCAATAATTGTTCAAATGAGGGAAGGGTACCTGGAAATTCATTACAATAGTCAGTCTACATTTGTCTCTGAAATTCTCCAAAATGAAGGTTTTTCAAATTTTATAAATTATAAGTAATTTTTATAATAAAAAATAAAAATAGTAAACAAACTGACCGACCCTAATGCCCAAGAGAGTTAAGAGTTGAAAGAAATTATCTAAACCATTCAAAATATTTTATTGGACTATTCTTATCAATTAGGATGAAATCTCAGATGAACAATTTAAATGCCAAGAGATTTTTAGATTAAAAAAAAAGGGAGGGCTTCCCTGGTGGCACAGTGGTTGAGAGTCCGCCTGCCGATGCAGAGGACACGGGTTCGTGCCCCGGTCTGGGAAGATCCCACATGCCGCGGAGCGGCTGGGCCCGTGAGCCATGGCCACTGAGCCTGCGCGTCCGGAGACTGCGCTCCGCAACGGGAGAGGCCACAACAGTGAGAGGCCCGTGTACCACACACACACACAAAAGAACTATTCAGTAAAAACGCAGTTTTCTGTGCTTTAACACATGTAACTTATAATTAAAAAAAAAAAAACTAAAATAATATTAAAAAATCTCTCCCTTGGATTATTTTGTATAAGTAAATATAAGAACAAACTCAAGAACTGAAGCATAATAACTATGCAAATTGACATTTAATGAAATAATTTTGAAACAGTCATACATACGTGCACACATATATATAATAAATCCATTTAACGCTGGATAAATTTTCTAAGCCTAATTCTTTTATAAGTGATAATACAGAAAGAAGTCTCACCTTATTAAAGGTGAGATTAAATATCAAAATGTGGATTTTTTTTTTTTTTTTTTTTTTTTTTTTTTTTTT